GAAGGGAAGGGAAGGGAAGGGAAGGGAAGGGAAGGGAAGGGAAGGGAAGGGGAGGAAGCCCTCAAATTCCAGCCCTGTCAAAAGGTAGCCTTAAAGTTGCTAAGGCTGAGAAACACTGGCTTTAGGAAAAATATAATAAACTCCCTGTCACTGAACTTGGGCAGCATTGCTAGGAAGGCTTAATTGCAAAATGCTAGTCATTCTTTGCCCCCTGCATCAATATCTCCCCCCCACAGACTGGATTTAAAGCCCATAGAGATTCTGGCACCCAACAGCTCAATAAGAGTCACTCTGACTTGAGTTTCAACCAAGGGTTACTTTGAAAGTGGCTTTCTCCAATGCCCCTGGGTTGCAAAAACTCCTCCACCTCTCCATAGTAAGACCTCACTCAGACCATCGCAAACTCAAGGAGATCTGCCCAGTTCAGATGAAGGAAGATTTTACTATGTTTGTTCTCAACTCAGATTGACTTTCGGGAGACCCCAAGGGTCAATCACTACTTTTATTAGCCTGGAGCTTGGATGGATTCCAAACAGTTTGAGGAAATTGTTGAAGGACAAGTACAAACAGTGATGATTACCCAGATACTACCCAAGGTTCTGCATGCTGATCAGAGATGTTGAAAAGCCGGCACCCAAGGTTTTCCACATCCTCAAGGCGACCTTCCCGGGCTAATAAATAACCATAGACGTCCATCCCTGAGAAAAACAAAGGAAAGAGCAATAAATGTCAGAAGAGCAATAAAACTACTCAAAGCAGTAGAAGCTGGAGAGACACCAGAGGCCAACTCCATTCGCTTCTTACCACTGTGCTCAAACATTGCTAAGATTGAGACTTTCTCCCTCTCTCTGTCATATCTGGAAATGCCAGAAAAGTGTTTAGAGATCCATTCACACATACGCAAATTTGCAAAACTAGAAAGCCGGAAATCTCTTTTATTGTGATTCAGTTTTTAAATGGAAAGAAATTAAATTCAAGAGGATGTCATTATCCCTGAATATTCTTGTCCAACACAAACTTTAAAAAGCTTTCAGCAGCAGCAGAGGATTCCACTTGCTGTTAACATGTCAGTGCTCAATTGTAGATATTTTTCAACCAGTTACAACTGAGATCTAATCGCTTGTCTAATTTTAGTGAACTCATGAGCGCAATTAATTTGCCCTAGTTTTCCCTTCATCTTCAGTGCCATTATACATTTTTTTTGTTTTGTTTTTTGTTTCATTTACAGCGGCCATCTTTCTCACAAGAAAAGACCCACGGATTTCAGAGCAACTGATTTCTAATGCCTAAAGTTATATCGCAAATTGAATGAAGGACCCAAATAGTTCTCCCTATTTTCCAGAGCCTTACCTTTTATTAAATATGGATCCAACATTTGTGCCTGTTCAAATTTTAGAATGGCGTTCTTGTTGTCACCAGCTCTGAAATACAGGTCTGCTAAGCTGCCCAATATATCCACATTGTCTCTTAGGAGTGACTTTTTCTCCAGCGAGCTTTTGGGAAAAAGCAGAAATGGAAAAATAGGATTTATTGTGAAACAATATCCTAGAATACCTATCGGAGAGGAGCCGAGAGTTCAGTTCGGCAATCTGGGAAAAAAGTACATTTTAAAAGGTATTCTCGATTTTACAATCAGCATTTTGCTTCCAAGGTCCAAGGACCTCTCTGTATCACTCAGGATAAGTCAGCAGGAGTGGTGAATCTTGAGCTGGATGCTCACCAGACAGTGTTGATTGCCCTGGAGTTATCGCCCGTGTGCACAAACGCGTACGCTTTGATCCACACCGACAGCCAATCCAGGTTCGGAATGCTCTGGATCACATTCATGGTCAGGGAAGCGACTTCTGCGCCTTTCACCGAGAGCGACAACAAGCCTACATGAGGACAGACCGTTACTACGATTTCCAGGCTGACAAAGGGTGCTTGATCAGGTAGCTGAATGCAACCAGGCTGGCTGAGAGTCGATGGGAGCCGAAACCCAACGGGGCCAGAGCAGGCCGAGCCGAGGATGTTCAACCAAAGTGACCCAGCCCCGCCAACGGGCAGGCTTGGCAGAACTCACGGAACCACCAAACCAGCTCTCCTACCATTCCTGCACTTCATCTTCTTCCCTCAAAAGAGAGGAAGGCCCCTTGAAGCTTTACAGACAAATTAGCAGAGGCACGGCTACTCAAGGAGCATCCCAGCATCTCTTCCCTCACGCGATGTCAAACTTGCCAACTTTTCTCCTTGCAATCAGCGACAAGAAGAGGGGGAAAGGCGGGGGAGCTTACCTAGAATGGCATCGAGAGCCAGCGGGCACTGCCTCAGAACTTCCTTGTAACTGGTCACCGAGGAGCGCTCCTGGCCCGTCTTCTTGTACAGGCTGGCCAGCATCATGTTAATCTGCAGCAGAAAGGCGAGAGCGACTCCAGCAAAGCTATAGGTTGGTCGTAAGAGAGCCCACCCACCCACCCACGCACAACCCAGGCTTTGCGATGGTGCCTTACGTTTTGCAACAAAGCGGTGCCCTTGCGCGCAAGAGTCTCCGGCGTCAGGAAGAGCCTTCCGAAGGCTTCCTGGGGCTTCAGTCACAAGGAGGAACCTACCTTGGGGGTCCTCTGCCTCGAGGGGATGCCATCGAGGACAGCAATAGCGTCTTTGTCTTGCTTTAACATGGTGTAGCACTCGGCCATTTTGTACTTCACCTCGATTTCAGAAGGCAGGCACTAGAAAAAACCAGGGGGGGGGCTTTGGTTTAATGGCTTTGCAGCTCCCGCAGCGCCAAGAAGAGGAGATTCGCCCTTGCTTTAAAGGCAGAGCCTTCTGAGAAGCCAAACGCGTGGACCAGCCTTATTTTGCAAGAGGAATGAAGCCAAGAATTGGAGAATGGCCCTTTTCTATCCAGGCTATCTCCTCCTGATCACGGGCCATCGCGCTGGGGTCAACTCCTAGCGACCCTGTTTCTGCTCCAGTGCTCAGCACCCTTACGAGCGATTTCCTTCAGATTTAAAGTTACTTTGCTTCATTTCCCATAAACTGCCACACTGACTGGCAGAAGCACCAGCACCAAGAGGAGAAAGGTGGCGCTCACCCAGCAGAGACCCAGCTGGCCCCAAAGGGAAACCAGGAGCGCGGGGGGGGGAGAACCCCCAAATGATCACGGCTAGAGCCGGGCCGGCCGGCCACCCACCTGGCTCTGGGGGGCAGAGGCTGCGCTTCCGGTGGACGGCCTGACTTTGGAGGTTTTGCTCAGGGCCTTCTTCTGCTGCAGGGCCATGGTGTACTTGCTGACGGCGTTTCGGTACTCCTTGTCATGGAAGAGGGAATCGGCATGATGCACCAGCAGCTGATACTTCTGCGACGGGGAGAACAACTCACTGCAAGAAACGTGAGCGGACCGTGATCGGCGGAGATGCGGCGGCCCCTCGGCCTGTTCCCGGGCATCTTTTCCCCAGGTGGGGGGCAGACCCTGGCCTGCAGGTCCCCCCCAAGGAGGCCTGTGCTCTCCTTCCTGGCGGCGCCCTCCAAGGACGGAAGAGCTGCCCGATGCGCCCCTGCCCTGCAGCCTCGCCAGGAGCAGCCGGTGCTCCGGCCGGTTCAGCCTTGCAAGAGGAGGTATGTGACGCGGCCGGAGGGCACGATCCTGGCAGCTCCGGGGGGCTCGTTAACAGCTGCAGCAAGACCCCCTGCCTCCCCCTGACCTCCGCCATCCCTTCCCTGCACATCGACCCTGCAAGGCAGGCCAAACTCAGAGGAGCCGACCGGGAGACGGAGCAGGACCGGGCTCGGAGGCTAACTCGGCCGTGAATCTTTCCAGGGTGAGTTTTCCCCCCCCCAGCTCCCTCCACCGGGGCTCCCACTGCAACTCCCATCATCCCCAGCCAGCCAGCCAGCCAGCCCACCTTCTCGCTGGGTTTGGATTCCCAGCCAGAGCACCTGCCCTCTCTGCCTAGATCTCTACCCCCATCAGCCTGTAGGGTCCCATCCTCCTGTGTCAGAGTCTGACACAGACTCTGACATCCTGAGCCAGCCTCCCATGGAGTCTAGAGCCACAACCCCCGCCCTCCCCAGCCAACCCTCTTCCAAAGGCGCTCGCCCTCCCCCGCCATCGTGAACGGGCATGACGGCAG